ACAATTCTAGTTTCTACTATAGCTCTCTACTAATTTTCTGTTTGCTAATCTTTTCAGATATTTCATACAATAGATCTTTTCAATCTAGTTAGCTGCTAAGCCAAGTTGGTGTTGCTAATTCTCTTTGTAGAACAGATTTACTCACACCTCACTCAATTTATATTTTCAGAGTGATAGTTTCTTTTCTAAATTAAGTATTAGTTAGTATGACTATTAAAAGCTATACTACTTCACCAACTCAGAATTTCTACTATGCAGGTCTCCACCTATAGATCCTATTAAGATTTATTTATATAACATTACATCTTTTCAAATGCCTTATCATACTTCTAATATCTGAATAATATTAATGCAATGTGATTTACAAGTTTACAACTCCAAAAATAAACAGAGTTTACTATAAGTTAGATACAAAAGTCCAGATAATTATTCAAATTTATCAACAGTAAAATTTGAATTCTAAACCTCTTATATAGCAGTTTGGCAATCTAACTACTATACTAAGATTACCAGACCTATTAATATTTATTCATATAATATTATATCTCTCTAAATATAATATTATACTTCTAATATTTAATTAATATTAATACAATATAATTTACAGAGTTATAACTCTAGAAACAAACAGAGTTTACTATAAGTTAGATACAAGATTTGAAAAATTATTCATATTGTCAATAGTAGGATTTGAATTACAAATCTATTATATAGTAGTTTGATAATCTATTTACTATACTAGATCATTAGATCTTTTATAATCATTATAATTAATTTTATATCTAATAAATCTTAATTTTTTATAGTATTATATGCTATTATTTTATTGAAGAGACCTTTAAATATTTATAAATATTATATCTGAATAAATCTAATACTATATAAAAATTTTTGTAAAAAAATATATATTTTTATATAATAAATATATATACACATTATTTTAAAATCTTAATTTTTTTAAAAATTGCTAATTTGACTTAAAATAATACTCATATAAATTCTAAAAAAATATACTTCATATACTTTAAATTTAGATTATATCTATTTATAATTGCTTAATAAACTATATAATACTAAATATTATATAGCTATATAATAATAATATTAGTTTTATTAATATATAAATTTATATATTAATATTGATAGCAATATGATAATTATTATTACAGATTTATTAAGTAATTATGTATTTGTTATAATTTTTTACAAAAAAATTTGTATACATATTTTAAAATAATATGCAGATACTTGAAATAATATATACCTGCAGATTATTATATAAAAATATAGTATTAATTATTTTTTTTACAAAAGTTTTTATATAGTATTAGATTTATTTAAATATAATAAATAATACAATTGTAGAATAAAACTATAAATATTTAAAAGTCTTTTTAATAAATAATAGTATATAATACTATAAAAAATTGAGATTTATTAAATATAGAATTAATTATAAAGATTATAAAAAATTTTAAATAATGATAATTATAGCTAGTAATGAATATTAAAAAGATGTAAACTAGTTCTAGTTAGAACTCAACTAGAGGTTAGATTATACTAAAGTTCGGATATAATAGCTCAACAAACAAACATTACAAATCTAATAATCAATACTAAGTTAGAAGGCTAAAAGAGATTGTAGAAGATTTGGTCTGAGTTTTAAAAATCTTGTAGATTTCTTAATTATTCTAGATTCCTTAAAATAAGTAATTTTTAGCTTCTTGACTCTTACTTGTAACTGTTTTTGTTCTAATTATCCTTTTTTATATTGATATCTTAGATTATATAGCATATAATTGGTCTTCTCTACAATTGATTATTGATTTGAAGAGTTTATTTATAGAACTATCTAAGGGTCAATTGATTATTATTTTCCTTAAATTGATCTAAATTGGATTATTACAAGACAGGATTTAACAATGATGATATTTAACAATGCTGAATTTATAATACCAAACTTCTACTTGAATTTCAAAGTATTAGTTCTTAACACTTGAACTTATTTAAAGTTTTTATTTTAACTCTGCAAGTTGTTGGTTTGAACTTATCAAAGTTGTTTTTATTAAGGTAATTTCAACTCACTTATATACATAATTTTACTAGTAATTAATAACAGAAATAAAAGAAAAACAAAAAAAGAGAAAAATAATAAAGATTCGAGAAATCTGAGTTGGGATCCTTAGGATTTGAAAAATCCTAGAAATTACGGGTCACGATCTTTAGGATTCAGAAAATCCTAGAAATTACAGTCAGGATTCTTGGGATTTTTAGAATCCTGATGATCTTTAATCAAGAAACAAGAAAAATCTTGTAAAGCCACCAAAACAAAAATTCCGGGATAGCGTAACCTTGGATTTGGTAATACTTTTGGTGTTACCAAATATGGCTCTTACAGCATGCTCAGGATCACGCGCGGATCACACGCGCAAAATGCGCGTGATTTTTAATATGTTCCCTAATTCAGACCAGCTGCCCGCATTAACAAAATTTTGAGAAACCCACAAAGTAATCTCTATTTCGCGCATCACGCGCGGATCATGCGCATAAGCCGCATCCTGTGCGGGATATTTGGGAAAACCGCAATTTGCCCATCACTAGCTATAGCTTATATGCAATATGGTTGTCGCTCAATTCCCTGAAAACCACTTACCCGACAGTCCATTTACCCTATATCACATAGAGTGAGAATTTAGCATTTAGTTAGCTAGGTATATTTTATTAGTAAATTTTCACCTCATGTGATGTCGGGTAAATAGTTTTCGGGGAATCGTACCGTAACCGGTTTAAATTGGTTTAAATTAATAAAAACATATTTGTCAACTTGTAATAACATTTAACGATGTTTATTTTAAAATTTTAAATATAATTTTTTTAAAATTTCTTTGATTTCGCTTCGATTTTGTTGCCTAATTTTTTTTTTTTTAAATTCATGATAAAAATTTACGGTTTTAATTGGCTGAACCAATAAGAATAATCAGGATTATCAGAACAAAACACAATTTACCTTTATATAGCAATTTCAGTTTCACAATTGATCAGGGTAATAACCTTAGCATGACTATCGTCATGCGTCAGGTCATTACGAGAATATCAATATAATTATGATCAATCAAATTGAGATTATTAGCGTTAACGACTGTTATAAAATCTAGAATTTTGATTGGTTGGCCCGAAGCCTGATTTTGCTGTGGCCCAAATATGTGAACTTTAATGATTTACAATTGTATTAAATAAGATTGGTCGGATTGTTAGTTTAATCAAAAAGGATATATAAAATAAATTTGTCATCAGAAAGCAAAATTTCAAATTCCCGAAAATCCTGCAGTATCTGATCTCACAAGATTCATGTAAGCTAGTTTATTGTTTTTTGTTATGAAATTTAATTCATAATGATCTGCTCAGCCACGAGGCATTTGAATTGAAAATAATATTTAGAAGCTAAATTAGGTAATTGTACTTCAAGAATTTAAAATTTTATTTTTTTCATTAATTATTTCCATAATAGGTTTAATCAAAAGAGATAACTAATTTCATAATAGTAATAGTGATCACTCGGCCTTATTTAACAATAATTAGGCTGTTCACTATTGAACCTAGGTGCCACAAAAAAATGTGCATGATTTTGATTGGCTAACGACGACGATCCAAAGTTTCGGCCCGAATTAGTTAGAATTTTACTAATGAGATCACAGCCGTTTATTAAGTGAAAATTATTCCTGGGCCAATTTTAACATTGTGCGGGCCTATTTTCTATAAATTCATATTTTTGGAATGAAAAAGTTAAAATGGTAATTCCGGTCAGAAATTATGTAGCTATTATATAATGCGAGCCAAAATTTTGTAGATCACGGCCGTTAGCCAATCAAAATCGAGCAGCACCTAGGTTCAATTCAATTACTGGGTTCCTTGTTCTTCAAGTGTCCCGTGAATCATTATAATGAATCTATTCCGCTTTAAGGAACCTCCTTTTTTAGTCTACTGAGTTATTTTAAACGGTATTTAGAATAATGCCCATGGGCGTACTTGAAATAGTGTGCAAGTGTTTACTATTTCGAGAATTTATAGTATATGTATTAAAAATTATTGAATAACCAAGATAATTTCTAATTAGATAGGGTTAGAACAATTGTCAAATTTGGCAATAATATTAATAAATTGACAACTAGAGTTAATACTTCAATTCGGATTTAAATATGTTCGGATTGATATTTTGTTAAAGTTTATATAAAAATAGTAATTATATCCGGATCTATCCGGATTTGAAAACATAGTGAAGTATTAACTATATTGACAACAACTTAAAATTAAACTGATTGGCCACTGCTCTTCCCTTGTTTTATGTAACCGATAATTTCCAATCTAGTGCTAGAGTAAAAATTATCAGGTCAGAGAAGACCGTGTATATGTTTCGCGACATTTTTTGTCATAACGACGCTACCTTAGAAAATGATGTTTAATTTTTTGTTAAAGTTTATGTGGTCTTTGTTTAACTTTTATCAAAAATTTTGAACTGGAGTATAAAAAAATACGATAAAATTTTTATAAATTTAATTTTTTGATTATAAAGAAATGCACCTATATTGACTCTATTTTGAAAGATTTTCATATATTATAAACAAAGATTAGACAAAGACAAATTCTTTTTTTTATATATTTAGATCGTAATTTTTTTTATGTTATGTATTCACGTTTCTTTATTTTATTTTATTTTGCCAATTTACAAAGATAAAATTTTCTTTGTCAGTTGAAAAAGCAATCCCGAAATTTTCGATGATTTGACTTGAATTCCAAATCAAAATAAGTAATAATACACCAATTTTAGCCAAGTCTAAAGAAAATTTTATGGTAATTAAAAATCAGAACGCAGAGTTTCGGAATTTTCCGAAAAATAATTAAAATTTTTATATATAATCAATCAAAAAAAAACGTTTAAATTATTCAAGTCAAATAAATTTATTTTTCAAAACATATTAACTCTAATTAATCATACTATCTCAATGAAATATCTTGGTTTTATCGTTCTTATTTGCATCGCTCATATTCTGGTGGTTCACGGATCACCTTTGCTTAAAAGTAATGTATTTTATACTAATTTTTCTTATTTATGATCTATATTCTTCTAATTTTCTTATATATCATCGGCAGTTCGATGCACTCCTGGTGGAGGTAAAGGAGATTGCGATCTTGGTCAACAATGTGAAACTGAAGGTGATTGCACAAGTGATAATTTTTGTATTGATGGAGAGTGTAGATATAACCCTCCTCCTTATTGCTGTTAGTTTTTCAAATTTTCCTGTTTTTTATTATGAATAATGTATTCAGCATTGTTTATTACAAGTCAAAATTTCTCTTGTTTTTTTACTCAGTTTAAAGTTATATTTTAACTAGAATTGCCCTTAATCTATATAATTCGTTCTAATATTTATAAGCTGATTTTTTTACCTTAATTATTTATTTATTAGAAAAATAAATACTATATATTATATTAGCTTATATCTCTAAACATTATTGTAATATTAAATCTGGTATCAATAATTTTTGAGTAAACAGAAGATCACCATCCAGTTAGGGATATAAAATCAAAAATCAAGTCTATGACTGACCAATCAGAATTTAAGATCAGGTGTAACGTGAAACCCACGATTTTTTCATCGTAACTCAAAATTTTGCTTATGAAACTACTTTCTGCGTACGAACTAAAAAAATTCCTTGCAAAATTATGGGTTAGAAATGTCTTCGCTATTGCACATCGCTATCCCTAACCCTAATGTAACCTTGTCTCAAACCCTAAACTTAATGCATAATTGTTTTTTGATTAGTCGGTCATATGACTAGTGATGCAATGATAATTATCAACTTTATGAATAATAAAATAAAATTTATTATATTAATAAAATTTATTTAAACTAAGTTATAAACGAATTATTTAACTTACCTCTCTTAAAAAATTCTTTTGTGAATTACTGTCTAACCAAATCCTCCTCCAATTTTTAAATATTATCTAATCTATTAAAAGGAATCCATTCAACTACATTCTCATA